TTTGCTTTTAAACCCATCTGCTAAGGAAACCTTTCCAGAAATGTGAGATTATAATGCTACTTTTCTTGAGAAGTTGTGAGGCCTTAATCCAGTGTACACAGATGAGATGCTGAAATAGGAGAGAGTCCAGTTCCTGCTGATCAGTGGAGATGAGGAATCAGGTATGCTGAGCAGGCTTCGAGCTTTCTGAGTTTTACAAGTCTGTAAGTTTTTCCTAAGTGGACTATTTCAAATCTGTTTTAGGAAGAAACACTATTTTCTGTTTTATCCACTTTCCATACTGCAATTTATCCCTAAAATTCAGCCTGTAGTTTCAAAAGATAAAAATCCTTAGACTAAATCTTTTGGCCTCAGTAGCCAATTGCAACTTGCCCAGGGAAGTTCAGAAACAGCACCATTCATTAAATACACTGTTCTGTACCAGAGATCCCACAAGAGATTCAGCTCCAGTGCTAAATCCCATAGAGTGTCAAATGCCATAACAGCTGATTTTTGACTTTGGTGAGATTATCTCCTGTTTTCTTTGGTGTAGCTGGCACAACTGGAGCAAGGGATGTGGGCAAAAGTACATCCTTACCAGGGTCCAGTACAGATAATGTTGCAATGTTACAGATAATGTTAGCCATTTCTCTAATTAAGGAAGGCAATTAGATACAGAAATTTATTTTCAGAGGTTTAAAGAATGTGAGGAAACATTTTTCTTTCCTTTTGCATTTCACATGTAAATAATGTGCCATATATAATATTATATATCTCAAAAAAATTTTCCAGTTAGCAAGAAGTTTAATGGGTTAGTTTGACATCAGTGTTTTGATTATGTTTTGCTGAATATAAGTTCATAAGGAATTGCTAAGGATTTTTTCCTTCCTTCCCTACACCTCCAAATTTCTTGTAATCAGGAGGCTATAGAAGAGTTTTTAATAACTGTTATTTGTGTTTCTCTTGTGGAACCATAGGCATTACTGAGAACAAGCTGGAGTAATGTAATGAATTGTTTTCTTTCCTAGAAGACATCATGGCAGCCCATCAGGAGAAAAAACTTGCTCAAGAAAGAAAACACAAACCCACCCAAAATGATACTCAAACCTCTCAAGTGCAGTGGGGAAGAGCATGGTGAGAGAAGCTGATGACCCTAATTAGTCCTTGTATTTCCAAGTGCTTCATACTTAGCTCCTAAAGTTGCTCCACTCCTGTTAATAACAGACTGTTGTAGTGCCCTGCCCTTGAAGGCTCATGGATATTTTCCTGTAGCAACAGATGCCAAAGGAGAGTCCTTCAAGATTTTTGAGGCAGAGAGTTTGCCAGATGGCTTGGGCTAAAACACAGTCCTTGCAAAAATGGAAAGTGAATCGTAAAAATTGGTAAAATTTGTAGTTCCTTCAAGGACCAAAATATTTCCTGAGCTTTGGAAAGCAGGCATCCTGACATCTGTGTATTCCCAGCTGACAGCTCCTGCTGTAGCAGGATTTATGGCTGATAACCCTGTTCTCCCAGAGCTGGGCGGGTGTTGGTGGGGTGTTGTATTGCAGCTGGAAACAGCCACGGCTGCCTGTGGCTTTCCAGACAGCGTGTGGGACAGGGAGTTCAACTCCTGGCCATCCGAGGTCTGTCTTCCCAAGCTTTTCCTAATGTTCTTGGGGTTCTGTTATCCCTTCCAGCTGAATACTCTACCAACTCTAGCCACGATTGCCATCAAAGCTGTGAAGTCTGTAATTATTATCTGCTTTCCTGAGGGGAGATAATGTCTAATGTGTTGCTATGATCAAGTAGAGTAGTTTTATAACAGTTTGAGGTAA